AAAAAAATCTAAAACACTAATATATATATATATATAAAAGCAAGTTGTTAAGCTTGAAGAGAAGAAGAAGAAGATGATGATGATGAAGATGACCTTGGTAACTTACCATTTAAATAAAAGCGAAAACCTTGTGTCTATCTATTTTGACATCAAATTATTCACCAACTCCCCTCCCCTCTTACAGCAATTAACATTAATTTCCTCTTAAATAACCAATGATAAACTGCATGCAACAAAATAATTTCTAACTTTGCTACATGTAATCAATGCTTATGCTCATCTTATAGAATAATTTCATTTACGTTGCACAGAAAGGGGCAATTGAGTGTTCGTGTTTGTTGTGTCTCTGTGGGAGAGTACTGAGCTGTCAAGAAGTGAATTACAAGGATAAATAATATGATTAGGCTAATGGTAACATTTAATACACATTGATATTTAGGTAAAAAAAAAATAGTGCTTATACATGTACATTTGTACATGTATTTATACATATCCTATCTTGTGTATATAAGAAAAGTGACCTCTCATCTGTAACCCTAAACCCAATTCCCTCCTGTTCTATATCTCTTTCTTCCTATTCAACTTCTTATATTCCTCAAACTTCTGTTCAAGATCTTCCTCGTGTGCCGATTAGTGCCATAAATTTACAGTTTGTTGCTGTGTTGGGATATTTAGGTGAGTTTGGTGAAGCTTTCATGTGATGGAAGATATTAAAGGTAGCTCAAGCAGTGATGATGGGAAGGCTAGTTGTCACAGAGGGCACTGGAGACCAGCTGAAGATGAGAAACTTCGGCAACTTGTCGATCAATATGGTCCTCAGAACTGGAATTTCATCGCGGAACATCTTCAAGGAAGATCAGGTAAGATAGAGCTAAAGAATTCACCTCTCCTTTTCTTTCTCTCATCATTGCTCAAGTTCTAAGAAATGGGATTTTCATATGTGCTTCTTTTTCTTTATCTTGATTAGGGAAAAGTTGTCGATTGAGATGGTACAACCAACTTGATCCAAATATCAACAAAAGACCTTTTACAGAAGATGAGGAAGAAAGGCTCCTAAAAGCTCATCAGATTCATGGAAACAGATGGGCTTCGATATCTAGGCTCTTTCCTGGTAGAACTGACAACGCTGTCAAGAATCATTACCATGTTGTTATGGCAAGAAGGAAGCGGGAACGCTGCTTGACTTTCCATGGTAAGAGAAATAATTTCCAAGTCCAATATTCTACTGATCATCATCTTCGGTCCAACAGAAATAGCAGTACTCCTCCTGGTAGCAATTTTGAGTTCTTTAGGCCTCAAGTGTCACTTGATTATGGTTCTAAATTAGGGTTTCAGAATAATATTATTGAAAGAAAGGGTACTAACATACCCATGTCGTCTTCAAACTCATCACCCTCTTGGACTAACATTAGTGCTTCAACCATCACAAATGACTCATTAAGTTTTGACGTCTTTGATGCAAAAAGAAAGGATTGTATTCAATACTCAGGTTCTTCTTCATTATATCCTAAAGAGGGACCACTTGCTTTGAATGAATCTCTTCACTGTACTTACCATCCTAGTTCTACCATTTATGGTGGTAACAACTACCAGAATGTTGTTGGACAGCAGATCCCTAATGCTAAGAAAGTTGATCCTAATAATCCTTTTGCATTGACAAGTTATGGTGATGGTTATGGAAGGAATAAAGAAAAGATTATCGAAAGCCAGTTAGTGAGACTCAATAGCAATCATCATGAGCCAGCTGCATTGTGGAAATTGCCACTGGCTTCCCAGCAAGAAGAAAAAGATCATGGAGATCAATTTAAGAACCAGGATGTTGCCTTTATAGACTTTCTCGGTGTGGGAATCTCTTAATTATCGAAGATATTATCCAAGCTTCAGTTTTATCATCATGAGGAGCATAATCTTGGGTTTGATAATCTTCCAATTTTCCAATTATAACAATATTGGTCAGACGTCTGGTTCATCTATATATATATATATTAGGCAGTGCCTGATGAGTTCAGAATAAGCAAAAGGAGGAGGCAGCTACATTTTGCTTTCATCCCTCATTTAGGACATTCAATGTTTCAGCTGTAATTTTCAGTTAGGTACAATCTGCAAATGATATTTCTTATGTAAGGGCTTTGTTTTCTTTATGTCATCCATGGATGATGTCGTAGTGGTGGTAGTAGCAGAGCAAGTAATTTATGGAAACCTGAATCTTGATTGATTTATAGATGTTTAATGAGTTCTTTCTTCTGTAACTCCCTATAGACGCCTTCGAGCTTGAGAACCACCACGAATTAGAAGAAGTGAAGGCATATATATTAATTGTGTTCTAATAATTATTTCTCTAGTTTTTGTGCCATAACTTCTACTACTACTTTGTTGCTTCGAGGCCTTGCGCCATGATAGAGATTTCTGTGCTATTTTGAAGTATATTAATCATCCTTTTATCAGTTAGTTGACATGTTCCTATCTAAATGGATTGACAAGTTATTTGATGACAATTTTGTCTCCCTTAGGGTTGTGATCGCTGAGAGCTATCCTCACATGCGTTCCTGTGTTCTTCTACAAGGATTCTCTACAATAACCTTACCTTATTCTGAATTGTGTAAATCAGATGCTTAATTTTTGAATGATAATTAATACTTTCTCAACGTTGCTTTACATTTTCGTCTCATGGTAATTGTGAAAGCTCGAATTTTTTTTTTTTAATGGAATATTTCAATACATGAACCTCGTCAACGAACAGATTAAGCATGCATGTTTCTTTCAAATTGATCATAATATTTTCAGTTAAAAAATCATTTCTTTGTAATTTAAATATAAATTTTTAAAGTATTTAGATATAGAAATGTTCAGTAACATGGGAAATTAAGATTATAAAATTTTATTATGAAAACAAAATTTTAAAATTTAAAAAAAAATAATTCACAAAATAATCTGAAACAAAACAAAGAACAATATTATTAATGATAATTGAATTTTTAATTTTTTATGAATTTGAAAATAAATAGAGAAGTTATTGAAAATTTTGGATCAAAATACAAAAACTTTATAGGATAATGATGATGCCAATAATTAAATTACTTCTTATTTTGCGTTACATTAATATTGATGGTAATTATGGGAAAGAGGATGTGATGAAATCAAGAATATTAACGTGTTTTAATTCATCTTAACTCATCTTTCAATCATCCACTATATCTTTTGTTTAATATAACATTAGAAACTCTCATCTGATGTCAATTTTTAATAAAAATATTCATGACGATCCAATTTAAACAATTAAATACTTGGCATTTGAATATTAAGACACCGTTAGTACTCCCTTCATCCAAAATAATTATCAATTCATTTTTTTCAATCTTGAATTTTAAAAATAGGAGAAATAAATGCTGCTTTGGTGAAGATAATGGGTGTCCAATTATGGGTGAGCGTGGAAACTTGTTGGGAGGACAAGAGGGAAATATATATATATATATAAAATAAAATTAAGGGTGGCAATTTCATTTCTACGGCCTCATGAATGACAACACAATCCAATCCCGACTTGAATGTATATTAAATTCTATGGATAGCTATATTGTTTTAAAGACTTTTAAAGGTAGAAAATCGAGTTTTAAATTGTGTATAAATATTGTTTTATTATCTGAAAATCAATAAAGATTTTAAAGGTTGATGAAATTATATTTGTATGAAACTATATATAGATATGTTTAAACATAATAATAATAATAATAATAAGCTATTTCTGTACCGGATTCTAGTACTCAGGAAGATTAACAAGGCAAGAAGGGACTCTGCTGTATTAATTGTGCCCGACTGCCATCCATGAGGTGAGTGCTGTGTTCTTGAGTTTGTTGTGGTGATGGAGGTTTGTGCGTGGAGATGGTGACAGACTCTGCAGGTCGTTGAATGTTTATTAATTATATGTTTCTTAATTTGTTTATGTGAATTGTGAGGATGTTAATTAAATTGATTTATGAACAAACACCCCCGGCCATGCGTCTGTGGAGAGATTACCATCCTTTCTTCCTTTCTCTCCTTCTTTCACACTCTAATGATCCATACGATTATGCTTTTAATATCCTTCTCTGCTCCTTAATTAAATTATAATATTATGCTTTTTTTGCAGTCTATATCATCTAATCTTGTGCCTGTAAATTTTAGTTCTTCCTGTAATTAAGCTCTGAACCTTATGAATTCATCTGCAGTGGATGCTTGATTGTTTGATTTTTTTATGTTTTGTGATTAATGGATATGTAAATTTGTTTATACATTTATTAAAATGAAATTCTTCTTTGATCATGTTTAATTTTAAATAAGTGATTAATGTATGTTTAAGGCATCATTGTGTCATTTAAATTAGTTTACAGATTGAAATTGAATTCTTTTTTTATATATATTTTTAATCGTGTTTTAAACAAGTGGTTCATTTTATTATATAAAGGCATCTACCAATTTGACAACGAAAATAGATAAAAAGTTGTAAGGAAAAAAAAATTAATTGAAATGAAAAGGTTGAGAAGAGTTTTTAAATTTATTTTTTATATTAATATATTAAATTAAATTAAAAATACAAAAAAAAAAAATTCAGCGATCAGCATTCTGGCTGTAATGTCAAACACTTTCTAGAAAAAGGACCCGAATTTGAATACAATAAAACAGCGCCGTTTTAAGTTGCCGCTAAGGTAAACGCAAGAACCCACCCATTGGGCTGCTTCATCATCAGATACACACAATCTATCTAGGTAAAACAAAAACCCATTATCACTCTCTGCTTCCCTCCCTCCCTCCTTCTAAACTTCCAACCCCCTCCCACGACGCCGTCTGTCTCTCTATCCTCTACTTCCTCCGTCAAGGTATCTCTCTCGTCCTTACTCTGTCTTTCTCTTAATTCATTACTGCAAGTAAATCTGTTTAATTCTCAAGTTTATTTTGCTGCAATTGCCGTTTGATATTCTTGCTTCACTTTTAATTATGTTGGCCGGTAAATACAAGAGCATCAGAAGCAGTTGTTGATGCAAGAGAGATGGATATAGTTGAATCTGTACACAATCTTGCTGTCCAAAATCCTGCCGAGGAGGATTTTTCGGCTGCCGATTTGACCTGGACTAAGTTTGGTACTGCTGAGCATCACGATGAGGTTGCCCTCATTCCTTACGATCGTGTTGATGCCTTTATAATTGGAGAATGCTCTAATCCCGAGTGCCCTACCCGCTTCCATATCGAGAGGGGAAGAAAAAGAGCCAGAGGCACTTTGAAGGACTACAAGACTGATGAATATTTGGAATACAAGTTGTAAGTTTCTAGTCCTCTTCGAATTCCATCTTGCATTGTTGTATCGTTTTCCTTCGATAAAGAATCTGTTCTCCATGTTATTATAGAATTTATTATTCCTTTTTCTTTTTGCCTAATGTACTCTTCATGTCCTGGCATCATTTTTTCTAGCTTTGATAGGGCACCCTATTGGCTGTTCTCCAAGTTGTTTGAATATATCTTATATTTTCATCGCATATTATGTGGGAAAAGGAAAGAAGGGGATATTTGTACAGAATGAGTGTCAAATTATAACAGAGGGGAATAAGGCATCCTCCAAAATGAAAAGAATCGAAACAAAAGAGCTTTCTAACTCCTCTAAATATCAACAACGGAAAAGGCCCCTTGAAAATCCTGGGAGGACATCACCACAAAGAGGTTCAAAAAAGTTTCCTTTCCCACAATTGCTGTTTTTGTAGGAACTGATTCTTGAATTTGTAAATCATCTCCACCAATCCGCTTCATCTTCGGTAGCAAGATGAAAAGTCTCATCTTTCATGAATGTATCCAGTACATCACTAAGGTTCATTTTGGCATAATTTCACTTCTCTAAATGCTTTTAGAAGCATTTTTTTCAGCTTTATCTTTTTGCTAATGGATGGGTTTGGAAGTGTTGGTTAAGACCAAAATTACTTCCCAAAACAATACTAAACAGGCATTATGTGAATATGTGTAGTTTTTTCATATGCATTTTTAACTCAGGTGTATAATTTACTGTATGACATGTGAGTAATAAAGGTAAAATGGCTGGCACCTTCATCACATTCACCAACTTCATTGTCAATGTTGGTTTTGTTGCTTCATTGTCAACTTTGATGTGTGGCATTTGTTGCTTAAACTATGTATACAAGTTCTCATGTTGGTTTTCATTTATGTTTGGAAGGTACTGGTGTTCATTTGGCCCTGAAAATTACGGTGAAGGTGGAGGAGTATTACCTAGTCGGAAATATCGTCTTAATACCCGAAATCGTGCTGCAAGGCCCCAATCCATGCGTGGCTGTACATGCCACTTTGTAGTGAAGCGCTTGTATGCCCGATCGTCACAGGCACTAATTATATACAATGAAAGGCGTCATGTAAACAAATCTGGTTTTGTCTGCCACGGACCACTTGACAGAGATGCCATTGGTCCTGGAGCCAAAAAAATTCCATATATTTGTAATGAAATTCAGCAGCAAACAATGTCTATGATTTATCTTGGTATTCCTGAGGAGAATGTGTTGGAGAAACACATCGAGGGGATTCAACGATACTGCGGTTCAAATCCAAAAGTCAACAGCCTTGCTTCACAATATGTCCATAAACTTGGAATGATCATCAAACGGTCTACTCACGAGTTGGACCTAGATGATCAAGCTAGCATCAGGATGTGGGTTGAACGCAATAAGAAGTCTATCTTCTTTTATCAAGATTCTTCAGAATCAGATGCTTTCATTCTGGGAATTCAAACAGAATGGCAATTGCAGCAAATGATCCGTTTTGGTCACCGCAGTCTCATTGCAGCAGATTCAGCATTTGGCATTAAGAGACTCAAGGTATTCCATGCATGCCCCTTTTTTTTATTTAACCTTGAAAAAACATTATTAGGTGGTTGTTGATGGCATTGTGTATTTGAATGTTAGTATCCGTTGTGCACACTTCTTGTTTTTGATTCGAGACAACATGCACTTCCTGTTGCATGGATCATCACGCGTAGCTCTGCAAAACCAGATGTTGCTAAGTGGATGAAGGCTCTACTTGGTCGAGCATCAAGTGTGGAGCCTGGATGGAAGATCAGTGGATTCTTGATTGATGATGCTGCTGCTGAAATTGATCCCATAAGGCAGGATATTTTTGCTAAATGGATTCTTGATTGATGATGCTGCTGCAGAAATTGATCCCATAAGGCAGGATACAGTTTGTTTTCATCTGTGGTTACAGAATATAGGCTGTACAGTAGTCTTATCATACCTTGTATTATCTGGATTTTCAGGGATGTATTTGGCTGTCCTGTTTTGTTTTCCCTCTGGCGAGTTCGCAGAACATGGCTGAGAAATATTGTCAAAAAGTGCAGTAACATTGAAGTTCAGCGTGAGATTTTCAAACGTCTGGGAGAGATAGTTTACAGCATTTGGGGTGGAGTCGATACTTTGTCTGCCTTGGAAGAGTTGACTCATGATCTTGTTGATCAGACTGCATTCATACAATATTTCAAAGCCTCTTGGGTGCCTAAGATTGGTTAGTTCTCTTCCTTGCAGGCACTAGATAATATGCATTGGTTTTGTGCATGCTTTTTTTAGTCATTTTGAATGACAATGGCTTCTTATGTCATGATTTTGTTTTCTACTTCTTTGACAGAAATGTGGTTATCGACTATGAGAGCTCTTCCCCTAGCAAGTCAAGAGGCTTCAGGTGCCATAGAAGCTTATCATGTAAAGCTGAAAGCTAAATTGTTTGATGATTCACATCTTGGTGCACTCCAAAGGGTGGATTGGTTAGTGCACAAGCTGACAACTGAGCTGCATTCAAGTTACTGGCTGGATCGGTACGCTGATGAAAGTGATTCTTTTCAAAATGTCAAGGAGGAATATATTGCATCTACATCATGGCACAGGGCTCTGCAAATTCCCAATTCTTCTGTTACTGTGGATGATAAGGATCATCTCTTTGCCAGGGTATCAAGTCAAAAGGACAACAATGTAACACATATAGTGTGGAATCCCGGATCAGAATTTGCTTTTTGTGATTGTGCATGGTCATTGCAGGGAAACCTTTGCAAGCATGTTATCAAGGTCAATATGATTTGTGAAAACGGTGAAGGTTATCAACCCTCAATGTCATTTCGGGCTTTCAAGGAGCTATTGACAAGTCTCTGGAAAAAACCAATGGATGACTCGGTTGGTCTAGATTTGTCTATTGCCTGGGCGCACCAGATGCTGGATCAAATTAAACAGCTTGTTGAACTGGATAGTTCAAAAACTATTGGTACTGTGGTAAATAACATGCCATTGAAATGGGTTTCAAAGAAGGGAAGAACATCTATTGGCATTCCCTCATCAGTTCTGGCTCTTCCATCCAGTTCCAAGAGTGGTTCAAACAATGCTGTTGCACGGAAGAAAAGTAAAAAACGTAAAAGATTGTCAAGATTGAGGTAGCATCAGTTAGTAGATAAAAGATGTCTTGTGGATGTCTCTGACCCGTGCTGCCAATTGAAACATGCTCATGCTCGCTTTGGTTTCTAAGCTTGTCGAGCAATGTCATCCTTACTCCACTGTAGGGGGAAGTCTCCTGAATCTTGATCCATATTCAATCGACCAAGATCAGTATACTCGCAGCCACCATAATTTTGTTCTGATGCTATGCATGGTATATCTTTGCTGCAATTGCAAATATAAATGTGCCTTGAGGTACATCAAAGCGTGTCTGAACACTTACATGCTTCTGCACATTCCTCGGCAGGTTCCAGGATGTGGCTGCCATCATTTGCTTCAAATGTTGGAAGGATTCTTGAGCATGTGACTGGATTATTTCGTTCTCTCAATCCACAGAGCTGCATACATGGAGGTCTCTTAGGTTTCTTTTTGTTCAGAAAGGAAATATTGGTGAAAAATACGCCATTGAATTTATATTTATCAATTTTTGTAGTTTTGGTTGCATGAAATTTGTGTAGATTTTATACAACTATTGACCTGTTTTCACTTGTTTTTAATTACTTGCAAAAATTGCTAGGTCATGCAGAGTTAGAATGGATCAGTTGCTATCAAGAAGATCAGTATAACCCTCAAATGTCAATTTTTTTTTCTATTCTTTTTTTTCACTGTCATTACGATTCTGTCAATCCTGGTAATTGAGACTGATGAAACAGATTACAGCAACTCATTAGATACCAACTCTGTAGACTCTTGAGCATCCAAGGATTGCCATAGAGGATAATATGTCCGTGTTCCATATTGGTTAATTTCCACATGGTGGATTGCTGGTCTTTTTAGCCTGTTAAGGAAACGACATAGAGCAGACATTTTGATTTCAAAGTGGGCCCCAAATCCAAGCCCACCAAACACTTCGACAAGCACAAAACAAGCATGAGAAGCAAAATTGCCAATCGGTGTGAGGCGATCTCACCTTATCCACACCCCAACCACAACCGTAATCACATTCATCACCCACTCCTTCCACATCACTCCTTGTCAATTATCCGCAACCTCAAAAATAAGCAATAGCCCTCTCATCACCATTAGTCTCATCTTTCTTAAGAAAGTAGAATCTCAGTTTTGTAATAACACATTTTGCAAGCAATGGCAGCCACGAATTCTTGTGCTTCGGCATGCAACTATGCTATCTCAGGCACTGGATCATCTGAGCTTAATGCCAAGATTGTTTCCATGCCTGCGGTTGCATCCCTTGTTGTGTCTGGCCCCAAGTTGCCTGTGATCAGAGCCCAACAGACTAGAGTTGATTCTAGAGAAATGAAAGCAAGTGAAGGAAGGAGAGCTGCAATGGTTTATCTTGCAGCTACCCTTTTCACCTCAGCTGCTGCTGCTTCTTCTGCCAATGCTGGAGTCATCGAAGAGTACCTTGAAAAGAGCAAAGCTAACAAGGTTTGTTTGCAAAACCCTGCCTTTCTCAGTACTTTTTATTTATCAGATCATCTGTTTCTATTATGATGTTGATTGTGAAGTGATATTGTTATAGGAATTGAATGACAAGAAGAGATTGGCCACTAGTGGAGCAAATTTTGCAAGAGCATACACAGTTCAATTTGGCACATGCAAGTTCCCCGAGAACTTCACAGGCTGCCAAGATCTTGCCAAGCAAAAGGTGCAACTCATAGTTTTATGAGTAATATTTCTTATTGATTAGACCGTATGATTATGTCATTTAATTGGTTTTCTTTGGCTGTTGCAGAAAGTGCCATTTATCTCTGATGATTTGGCTTTGGAGTGCGAAGGAAAGGACAAGTACAAGTGTGGTTCCAATGTTTTCTGGAAATGGTGAAGAGGGTGAGCTTTGTCTTTGAATCTCCATTTTCCAACATGTATCTAGTTTTCCATGTAACAAAATTTACAATCCATTTATCTCTAATTTCTGTGTGATTCTCTCCTATATTTTCCTTTGTCCTTGCTCGATTTTGCTCCATCCATGGAGAATATATGCAGACTGGACAAACAAATCCAAATTTCCAGGACTATTTTTACCTAATTGCGGGTGGGGGGAAATTAAGACCCTGAAACCTTTGAAAATGAAATATTTAACCCATTAAAAAGTAGATCATAAGATTTAAAGGAAAAGTTATTTCCCATACGCAGAAAACATTACAGAAAGCAGATGAAACTCAGAGAACCTGCCTTGGCTGAAAGTAACATGGAAAGAAAGTATATTCAGCCAACCATGTTCCATCCAAGGTAAGCTCAAAGTAACATGGATGACTTGATGCATGAATTCAGACCACAAGAATGAATTCAGACCACATTCTTGATAGAACTAGCTCACGATGTTCCTAAGATGAACACGAGGACTTGTAATAGGAATATAGCCAGCAAGTTCATCAGTGTCAGAGCTATTCATTGAATAAGCAAGACAGATCTAGTGGTTGCCCTATTTATGCTAAGTTATCCAATACCTCCGTTTATTCTACCTTAACAAATGCTTAAAGGAACTTTCAGCATTATAACCTGTTAAAAGAGAACCTGGTTTGCCAGGGTGGTCAGTAAATAACATTAAACTAAACAAGGACTACACAAGTTAATAAGATCTCATCCATCTCTTTCATTACAAGAACAGAAACCAAGAAAGAATTGAGCTGGAGAGGTGACTCCAAATCTTGTTTGACAGGAAATTATGGTGTCAAAAATAAATGGAGCTAAGCTGGAATATAGCATCTATTAAATTCCTACAAAGAATTTCCTAGCATTCTTTTAGCACAAATAATCGATCGGGGAATGCTGGAAAATGTACCTTATATGAAATTTTCCTGTATTCTTTTGGTATAATTAATCGATCCTTTGTTCTCCCTGTGATTGGGGCTCAGTTGAATCCCCAGGTGTGTGCATTCTGTCATATTCAATAATCTATGCACAGAAATCAGTGACCAATGACAGAATCAGTGAAATCCAAAGTCAGAAAATCACCAAGGCAAGTCAAAACTGAAAAAGGCAACCACAAATTTGCCATAATTGGTGTTTGGTACCGAGTGAGTATAATCTGAGAGCTCATCCAAGCAGCAGCTTCGTATCACGCTGAAGCAAATATAACTTGATAAAATGCTTAGTTCAGACCCGTAATGCAGTTCCTCTAGTGATCAATCCAACCACTTCCATAGTATTGTTTTTCAATCATAACTTGCTCAACGCAAACTGGCCTCTGAACACAACCAGTCCAAACTGAATCCCTAAACTTCAATTGAGATTGACCAAAGAAGCTCAAGAGTATGAGCACCAAGATGAAGAGATATTACTCTGCAGCTGTGGGCATGGTGATGGAAATACCTCATCTGCAAAACCTGAGACAAATTCACAATGCCATGACAAAGATGATACAACTCCAAGCAAGCTAACATTCTTCATGCATATCCCACCAAATGGTGCATCCTCAATTCCCTCCAATACAGGGGCTTTTGTTGAATTGAAACTGACCACATTACGGATAGAAATGCCCTTCACAACTGGAACTGCCTTAGGATCCCATCCTTCATCAGGATGGTCATTTGAGCCTCTACTGAACCTTATCGGAACCTTAACTCTCTCCATTGTTACATTACTTATTGTGATATTTGCTATATATCCTCCTCTGCCACTGTCAGTTTTTATTCTCACACCAGCAGCAGAATCCCAGACATGCAAATCTTCAATAGTTACTTTAAAAATCCCTCCAGACATCTCACTACCTATTCCAACCCCAGAGCAAGTAGGGGTGGTGCCAGATACTCTCCTAACTACAATGTTTGAGCTGGGACTAGCCATTTTAATACCGTACTGGTCCCAGCCACTCTTCACTGCTACAAGATCATCCCCACTCTCAATGTAACAATCCTCAATACATACATTTGTGCTTGAGTCTGCACAAAGAAAGAAAAACCATTTTAGTTTCATGAGTCAGCTTCAATGCAATTAAAACTAGGGAGGAAAAAAGAAAAGGGAGGATAAGAATCATACCAGGGTCTATACCATCAGTATTTGGGGCTTTGAGAGGAGCCAAGATTGTCATGTCTTTAACAACAACATTGCTGAAACAAATGCAGAGCTAATAGTATTAGTTCCCAGCTACAATTTCCAGTAGGAAAATAAACTATGATGAGATAAAAAGAAGTGAACATTCGATTTATGCTTGTTATTACATATCTATCCCGAGTCACCATAGCAAAGCAAAGAAAACAAAACCCAATTGGATAATAATAAGGTAACTCTCTGGTTCTAACTTTCAAGGGCAAGGACCTGGCATGGGAAACCACTCCCAAACTCAAAAACAGTAGAAAATTTGCTGGAAGGGAAAAGCATCTTACTTTATGGTTCAATTGTTTCCATGTTTTATCATCCAGTAGGATAGATATATTCAGCTCATTTATAAAATTAAGTCAACAATATTATACATGTGATTTTATACCGTTACATTTTTTTTGAAGGCCAAAAACTCTTACCTTATTGAAATATTTTAAGTCAATGCAATACAGTGGAAGTATTTTAAGTTAATGCAATACTGTATAAAAGAAAACGGAAACCAAGCAATGGATAAAAGGGTGAGAGTGGCAACCTGCAGTAAACTGGATGAATGGTCCAAAATGGAGCATTGCAAAACGTGAGGTTGGCGATGAGAATATTGTTAGAATTCATTAGTTCTACAAGGTGACCTCTTGTGTGCTCCAATGTTCTGTTCCACCATAATTCCCACCACATCTTCCCTTGTCCATCAATCGTCCCATTGTTTCCTGCAAAACCAATCAAACAGATCAAAATTTTGATCAAGCTGTTTGATAATCAAGACAACAAGTTTCTGCATCGCATGTTCTGAAACTGGATTTTGAATTATGCATTTATCACCAAGGCATTTGATATGTTTTAAATCAAAATTTTGATCAAGCTGTTTGATAAACAAGACAACAAGTTTCTGCATCGCATTTTCTGAAACTGGATTTTGAATTATGAATTTATCACCAAGGCATTTGATATGTTTTGGAATAAATGGAAGAATGGATGGGTACTAATTCTCACTGTGCTGAAAGGATTTTCTAGTTTAGCAGATGGCATGCAATGTAGACTGCAGAATCAGAAACTAATCACTGTTAAAAAATTATTAATCACCCATAGGTTTTTTCTCTTCCATAATTTCTCATGTATACAATGAGTAAGCACAGCAGCTTATTTTTATGCCAGCTGCTATAAGCAGATAGCCAGATGGCTACAAGTTAGTTGTTTAGCTCTATTATGAGTTTCCTGAAGGAGAAACAAAACTTGTAAAAAAATTATTAAGAGTTATCTTTTCCCCTTCTAATTTTATCAAACTTCATTAATTGCTCGAATAGAGATTTCACCGCCCAACACAAACATCAGCAAGAGAATCATAACTCAAAATACTTTGTTCTTGTTAGATATGTTAAAACTTCCTGTCCAATCTATGTGAAATGTGATAGTAAAATGTTATCTTGGGAATACACATTAAAAGTTTCCAACAAACTGACGACACCACCATAAGAATATAAGCTCTTTAATGACCAACTATACGAACTATAGAGGATGCCAACACTCACTGATAAATTGTGC